GTAGTGTACGTGTGTGTGTTTGTTGTGTGTGTGTGTGTGTGTGTGTGTGTGTGTGTGTGTACCGTGTTTTCTTCCTCTTGCTGTAACTAATAGCGAGGAATTCTTGATTTGTATGTGCGGATGTATATGGATGTGTGTGTGTGTGTGTGTGTGTGTGTGGCTTATTTTACCTGTTTCATGCATTGGTATTGGAGAAAGATCGTGCGTACACACACGAATGTGTGTATATATATGTGAACATATACAATAATATGAGAGATCAGTCATGTATGACGGGATTGGTCCCGGGAAGTCCAAGGGATTTAAAATAAGAGACGAGATAAGAAAGATATTAAATTAAAATATTTTTGATAAACAAGAAAAAGAGTAACTCAAGTCGCACATTCAATTTTCGTTGGGATTTTAAATTTTGTTTGCGTATATTATATTATTATATAAAAGAAATTTACCTATTAAAATCTCATATTCTTGTAATTTACTAAGAACTAATAAGATGTTTTTCTCAATAGTAATAAAACTGCTTCACAAAATTCTTTCAATATTATAAAATTTGTTTTTTAATTTTTTGAAATTTCTTTTAAATATTTAGAATTTTTTTCTTTTCCTTGTTAAAAATCAAAATACGATTATTTCTTCAAAAAATGAATTACTTTGTCATATCTTTAATTTCTTATAAAATATAATATTCCAAATACATTTATCTTGTTTCATAACGTAACATAAACACGATCGTATATTTCTTCGATACGTCAGAGACAATCCCATGATCTTGTTAATGATAAGTGCAATGAATATGATGTTAATAAATCATCGATTATTTTTTTTATCTCGGATTGCCTGGAAGCAAATATCGGTATAATTTGAATAACGGCTGGAGAAAGGAAAATATAAGACACCAAGCAATGTCGCAGGAAGTTATTCTTTATAAATTCCTGTTGAATTTGCGGCTCTTGTTGTGATGCCACAACTTCCTTTATATGAATATTATTATAACAGTTATATGAAATTTTTCAAGTTAATATTCCTTATTGCTTCAACAGCATGTAATAAAATCCAATGTAATAAAATAAAAAACTCCGATTTCTCTCAACAGTCAAAAACAATCATCTGATATAATATTTATTGCTGATTTATTAAAAGCGTGTTGCAAAATCTTCAATATTACTGATGTTGTACTTATAATTCGCATTTATCATGTGACAAGAATTAAATATGATAAATATGAAGAGAATATTTCAATAATGATGATAAAGCATCTTCGCCCTAACAATCTTGAACTTATATTCATATTATAATTTTTTATCTTTCAATTATTATTTAAATACATTATCTTAATTATTTTGTAACTTATTTTCATCTTTGTTGTACGATCTATACCAATAGAGATACTAAATATTTATTGCTTTCAATTGTTCCTTTTCCTTTCATTTCGATCGCTCAGAGTAAATCAACTAACGTGTCTGATTTTTCACGATATTCTTCTCTCTTTCTTCCTTGCGTGCGAATCTCGCATGGAAATGCATCTTGCATATCTAGGAGAGCGGCAACGAAAATTCGAAAGGATGCAGAAGGTGTTGCTACCTGTTGCGTTCGACCTGCAACCGTACATGTACATGTACTTGTCACAAGAGCGTAAACGCATCATGCATGAATGTGAATAGCGTGGGTGCATTAATTGCTTTGATGCACGCTAACAGCCTTATTATATAAATTTGCCTATATAAGTATGAATAAATAAGCATGCAAGCTAATAATAAATGCTACTTTGCGATCAAATATTTTTTGAAATACAGATTGTACGTCTATATACATAAAATTCTGTAAAGTAGTGTAATCGCAAAACGATACAATTTAGTTTAAAAGTTTAGTAAAAGAAAAATAAATATAAATGCGTATCATAGATCTTGCTTAAAGATTCAATTTACTAATTTTTTTATGATTAAACATTGACTCATTATCGCATTACATGGGCGTGAATCTGAATTTAAAGAATTGCTTTTTAAATTCTATTCACATATTGTCTGTGAATGCTAAAGTAATTACGTGAAATGCATTCGAAAATGAGGGCATGTACCTCAGTCATTAGGCTTTTTTTTATTGTAATAATATCATCTTGATGATAATAAATAATCTCAGATTAATTTTAATCCTCTTGTATCGAGAATTACTCATGAAATTCATTACTTGGGTAGCATTAGAAGGAAATAATAAACTCAAATAATTTATATATTAGAACTTCCATTATATAATTATTTTTTCGTTATTTACATTATACTTGAATTACTATCAACAAGGTAAATTTTTAGATTTAAGTGTAGCAAAAGAAAAAGAATAAATTAACAAAAAATTATGACAATGAAGATAATAATGGATGAATTTTTTTCAATGACAGGATGTAACACAATCACGGCTACGAAATATATTGCTGTGTTGTTACTACGCTGTAATTCATCCTCCAAATACTACATATTTGTAAACTGTAAAGTCAAGACAACGAAGGTCAGAGAATAAATTCTCAATAGTAAACGAATAACTGGTTTTAACTCCTATCGCTATATCGCTATATCGAGATATGATTAAATTTTATCGTTACCCGATTTGTTGTCAAAATTATGTAAAAAATATTAAAACGATTAATTAGAAATTACTGAAAATTTCTATTCATTATTTAAATTTCTTATTTAGATTTCTATCTATGCATCAGCATATTCAAAATGTCGCGAAAAAAAGTGAAATATGAGATCAGAACACGAAGAAAGATTCGCGAATCTATTTTTCCCGTCTTAATATTTTCCCTTCTTGATTTGGATAATTTTTCGCTTAAAAAAAAATGTTAATTTTTAAAAGTTCTTTTCTTGAAATACTTACACGATTCGCAACAGCTCTCCTCCCCGAATATCTTCCACCCTCTGAAGAATTTCAAGCAATCCGTCTATGTACTCCTCCTCCATTGAAATTATATGGCGTTAAGGAGATGTTTTTAACGAATAAGATTACCCGAACACTTCGACTTTTCATCGAAAACGAGACTATTAGCGGTATTCGCGACTGTACGTGCCGCCGAGCGTCACGTACGGCGTCACACTGGCTCGGAATGTTGATACCGGCGCGGCTTCCTGGGGTGTCGAATGTATCCGACACATTCCATTTACGTCTTACGTCCTACCGACGTCACGGCGCGAATAACTTAAGAAGTATCTTTCGCGCATCTCGAAAGAAAAATCCATTTTGACTTCATATACAAAAATGATTTTCATTTAATCTCTTTTAATTAATTGTCTATTATGTGAAAGACATATAATATCATTTTTCTAGTGTTATGTATGTATATATGTATGTGTATGATCAAGTAATATGTATTACATCGCACTCACGATATGTGTATATAAGGATGGCAAAAATATCCACATCTCATCATCCACATCTCATCAATAATTAGTAATGAATTAGCCACACAATATATATATATATATATATATATACAAATCTGAGTACGAAAAAATACAATTATAGAAAAAGAGAACTTTTGGGGGGGAATATCACAATATATTTTTTTTTTATTTTATAGATTCTTTAACCAACATGGATTTGATTTTTTTTTCTGTGAAGAGGTTCTGCAAATGTTTTTTAAAATATCAATTCCAAATTGGTCCAGGAATCTCGAATTTGAGAATTATTTTCAAGGTAAAAGAAAATAACCGAATTTAGAATACCCTGTGTGTGTGTGTGTGTGTGTGTGTG